AAAAAAAATGTCTTAACACTGATGTTCCACCTCTCACCAAAATTAACTCAAAACAGATTATAGACTTACATTTAAAACTCAAAATTATAAAACATCCGGAAGAAAACACAGGAGGGGCACCTGGCTGGCTCAGTCAGTAGAGCAATGCGACTCTTGATCGCAGGGTCGTGAGTCAAGCCCCATGCTGGGTGTGAAGCCTACTTAAAATAAAATGTAAAAAATTAAAAAAAAAAAAAAAAATATGAGAAAACCTAGGTGACCTAGAGTTTGGCAATGAGTTTTTAGATACAACACCAAAAGCATGAGCCAAGAAAAAAATCTATCGATAAGTTGTACTCTATTAAAATGAAAAACTTTAGCTCTGTGAAAGCCAGTTAAGAGAATGGACAAGCTATAGGCTGGGAGAATATATTTGCAAAACACATATCTGATAGAGGACTTGTATCCAAATATACTAAGAACTCCTAAAACTCAACAATAAGAAAATGAACAACTCCATTAAAAAGTTGGCAAAAGACAGATACCTCCCCAAAGAAGATATACAGGTAGCAAATAAGCATATGAAAATAAGCATGTGTTCAATATTATACCTCATCAGAGAATTGCAAACTAAAATAACAATGAGATATCACTTTACACCTATTAGAATAGCTAATATTCACAGCAGTGACAACACAATGCTGATGAAGACAAAGAGCTATGGGAACTCTCGTTGCTGGTGAAAATAAAAAAACGGTATCACTACCTGGGGAGACAGTTATTTTTTTTTCCAAAACGAAACAGTCTTACCATACGATCCAGCAATTGCTTTTCAATGTACTTAGGAACCCAAATGAGTTGAAACCTTATGCTCGTACAAAAACCTGCACACAGACATTTATTTATGGCAGCCTTATTTATAATTGCCAAAAACTGGAAACAACCACGATATGTTTCAACAGGTGAATTCAACAACCTGTGGTACATTCACACAGTGAAATATTATACACTGATAGAAATGAGCCATGAAAGGAGTGCACACTGTATGATTCCAACTATCTGATATTCTGGAAAAGGCAAAACTATAGAGACAGTGAAAAGATCAGTGGTGCAATTTTCAAAACCCAAGAACTGTACATTACAAAGAGTAAAGCCTAATGTAAAGTATGAAATTTAACTAATAATAATATCTAGATATTGGTTCTTCAGTTATAACAAACAGACCACACAAATGCAAGATGTTAATATAGGAGAAATGGGAGGTGGTACCTGGGGACCCTTCACATTTTCTGCTCAATTTTTCTATAAATGTGAAAACTGCTCTAAAGAATAAAGTCTATTAATTTTTTTTAATTTAAAAAAATCCTACATACCTTTTTGGATTCACTTTCAAAAGTTGATGGCAACATCTCTGGGAAGAATTTCAGAAATGCTGGTAATAAGAATTCCATGAAGGGTACAATGAGGAACACCATAAATGGAACCAGGCGGAAGAAATCAGCACAAGTTCTCAAGAGCTAAAGAATTAAATGCATATGCGGTATTAATTATTTTAGGGCATGTCCAAAAAAAAAAAAAAAAAAAAAAAAAAAAAAAAAAAGAAAGAAACCAAAAAAGCCTGCCTTGGTTCTTAAAGTGTTAAAAACCCTCAACAGATTTTCTCTGTTTATAAAATGGAAAGGTAGAGTTTTCCTCTTTACCACAGCTCTGAAGTAATATCTATGGGACACCTTCAAGGAAATCTATGACAACCAAAACATGTTATTGGCATCTCTTAGCTTTCATCTAAGTTAGAGGCCTGTACTTTAATAATACAGTATCTGTTAAAAACTGATTTTTGAAATGCATATACAGAATATATCAACAGTAGTTTCTACTTCGGGTGCACAGATCAAACCTGAAGTTTCTCCACTCTGTGGGGAGATCAGAAAATACAATTATAATCGTCTTATAGGCAAATAAGAATCTTGCCTAAAGTTGGAGGGTCAGTCAGTTTCAGACAAATAAACTCAATCAGAAACTCTGGTTCTCACCATCAGTTACTACTCCTACTTTGGGATTTTTAGGATGAACTTTACGTCGAGTTTAAAACTTGGTTCCCCAACACTTCACTTTAATTTTACATTTTCTTTCTCAAGTATGACGCTTGCCTACCCTTCGTCTCTCTCGTCTGGTCAGCACCTGTCCATGCAATAGCCTCCAAACCATCCGGGCAGCAACTTTGGTGTCAATCCAAAGTAAATAAAATCCATTGTAATAATATTTAAGTTCACCCATAATTTTTTGTCTATAAGATCGCCTTTCTTCTTTAATCTTCATGCCAGTTCCTTTCGTGGGCTCAGGGTTTGTCACCTGTGGCTTTTTTGGGGTTTGCTCCGGCTGAGGTTTACCAGGGACGTCTTGTAGCCAGCAAGTTGATGTGTGTAGCTTTTGTATTATTCTAGTTCGTAAGTGCAGTACTTTACTGCCTGACTGATTAGGACAGGAATGCTTCTTGCTTCCATAGTCCTTCACATATGTTTTCTTTAAATGGGAATCTGGCAAGTGAAGAAGTGCAAATGATGGGGAGTAAGAAGAGCTGGTGAGATGGACAAAATGGCTAGGGAATCTGGAATAAAAAGCAACATCCTCTGAGTTGAGCACATACTAGGACAAACTCAAAAATTAAAGAAATAGACATTTTCTCTGGTTAAAATAAAACAACAGTTTTTAAGGTTGTATTTTAAAAGCACATGATAGTCATTAACGAATGAAATATAACTTTTTGCCCCAGTTGAAGAACAAGGTACTTTATGGTTGAATGATATACTCTAGAAGAAATACTAATAAGTTAATTCCTAAAAATAACTGGTATATTACAAGTTAGAAACCCCACAACTATTAATTTAAAAATTAATAATGGCAGGGGCGCCTGGGTGGCTCAGTCGGTTAAGCCTCCAACTTCAGCTCAGGTCATGATCTCATGGGACAGAAGAGTTTCCAAGCGTTGAACTCTGTGTGAAAACTCCAGAGCTGGAACTGCTTCGAATTCTGTAATATGCTCCCTCTCTCTCTCTGACCCTCCCCTGCTCGTACTCTATCTCTCTCTCAAAAATAAACATTAAAAATAATAATAATGAGAGAGCAGCCTGGGTAGGCGCTCAGTCAGTTCGACTTCAGCCAGGTGCCCGATCTACGCGGTCCATTGAGTTGAAGGTTGCGTTAAGGCCTCTGAGCTGATGGCTCAGAGCCTGCAACTATTTCGATTCTGTGTCTCCTCTCTCTCTGCCTCCCCGTTCATGCTCTGTCTCTCTCTGTCCCAAAAATAAATAAACGTTGAAAAAAAAAAATTAAAAAAAAAAAATAATAATAATAAATAAATAAATAAAATACAAATCTAATAGCAAATATTTTTCCATCACGGTGTGTGTTTGAAAGTGTTGCCTTTATCTACTCTCATGAAACAGGTGGAATGTTTGTGTCTTCGGTTACTCTGCTGACAATAAGAATATTGTTTGAGGGGTGCCTGGGTGGCTCAGTCAGTTAAGCATCTGACTCTTGATTTAGGCTCAGGTCATCTCAAGGTTTGTGAGTTTGAGCCCTGCATCAGGCTCTGTGCTGACATAGTGGAGCCTGTTGGGGATTCTTTTTCTCCCTCTCTCTCTGCCCCTCTCCTGCCCGCTCACTTGCTTTCTCTCAAAAAAAAAAAAAAAAAAAAAAAAAAAGTAAGATTGCTTGAACAAAACTCTTCATGGCCTCCGTGGGTATTAACCAATCACATAATATCGCTTTGTCTGTGTACTGCCCATGGACTCCCTCAAATGAGAGACATTTACAGCTGAAATGCCCTTCACCTAAGATTCTTCAAGAATGTTAGGTAAGAATTAGAATTGGGCTCCCCATCCATAGATTTCTATATCGTAGTTTTACAATAGCTCATAATCTTCAGTTAAATTAGCACATTAGATTGTTTGAAAATAAAAATTCGACCCATCTAGGCAAAGAAAGTTCCTGGCAAGGACAGTTCTTCTGGCAAAGAGATGGCTTTTCCATTCTTGTGGACTGTTTTTGAAGCATGCCAAGATAAAACACATTTTGAAGGGCCAAAAGGCAAAATGTGCAATGTATCAGGCACAAAGTAAGTTCTCAGTGAATATACTTTGGAATAGTAAGTGATAACAGACCCTACTATGGCAGTTATGAGGCCTAGGACTGGTTTGTTTGCCAGCCACTGTACTCATTTTTATATCTAAGGGCGGCATGTAACATTTATTGATTATGGAGGTGTCACTCTAAAACCATGATGTCTTCTGTCTTACCTGTGCCATACATCTACAGAATTACTCAGGCTGAGTTCTAAGGCATATAGAAAATTCAGGGTAGGTTTAAATACCATAAAATATGAGCTTCCTAAAAACCAGGATAGTTAAAGGCAACAAAACTTTACTTTTTTAAAAGGTTTTATTTTTAAGTAACCTCTACACCCACGTGGGGCTTGAACTCACAACCCTGAGATCAAGAGTCCAACACTCTTCCCACTGAGCCAGCTGGGTGCCCCCAGCAAAGCTTTAATTTGTTGTGTAACCAGCCATTCCTTTCACATATATCTTTTTCATCTAGAAGAAAATTCATATGAATTTGGCAGGGGAAGGGGGGATTCCACAGCTTACCTTGTTCGGGCAATAGCTAAGATTGTATTATAACTGTAGAAAGCCATGTTTATATTTGTCTCAACTAGTCAACATAGGAACCTAGACAGAAGGAGTAAGTACACGATTTAGTATTTTAAAAACACATCAATTATAAAGATATCAGGATTTAAGTGTTTACTATTGCAAGGGTAGAAAATTTGCACATTCCATTCAAGGCATAAAATCTCTCTCAAGTTCATGAATGTTTTCTCAGCCCTGGATCTGGAAATGGTACTTTGAGATCCCAACAAACAGAAATAAGTTCTAGTATAACGGTGCTCATGATGGCGATATGGTCTTCCAAGACTTCTATTTGTGGTCAGTAACACCTAGTAACCCACTAGAATGATTGCCAGGTTATTAAAGAAGCTAAGCAATACACACTTATTTGTAGTCTAAGAATACAGGTAGAATGAAGTAAATATCCTGAATTTGTTTCACTTAGCTTTTCCCCCATACTTGGCCAAGCTGCCCCAAACTTTAAAGACTGAAAGTACTCACTAAACACTCATGTAGCAGTGAAGAGATAACATGGTACCTACTAATAATTCAAGTGGAGGTAAATCGGTTTCCTGTGTTGGTGGTTCTCCAGAGTCCAAACTGAGCTTTGCACCTTTAAATAAGCTTTATCAAAACCCTTTTCCATCCTGGGGCGCTTTTCAGCCAAGGGCAGCAAGGTGCTTTAGTAATATCCCTTAGCGTCAACTCTGCCTTCCTGCAGCTGGAAAAGGCCTAGACCAGGGTGTTCTCCTGGACGGAAACCTCAACCACAGAGCTGACATTTTGAACAGGAGTTCAAATAATCCTTCGGAACATCTAAAAACATCTAAACCCAGGCTAAGGGCGGGTGGTCTCCTGCTGGAGGGATGCCACACCCGATCCGGCGGTTAGCCGGCTCTCTGGCCCCCGGGCGCTGCCGCCCGGAGCTGTGGGCAACCACTTCCTAGGCGGGGACTGCCGGGAGCCCCGCCTGCGCCATCGCGCCGCCCACGCCCACACGCCGAGGGCCCCGGGCTCCCCGGGTTACCTTTGCTTCAGGCCCTTGACGACACAGGGGCGAAACGCGCTCTCGGCTTTTGTGCACGTAGTGTGTTGGAGGATTGTGTTTGTGGTAGCGGGGTCTCGGGGAGGGGGGGGGGGGGGGGGGGGGGGGGGTGGTTCTTTGTGTTTGGGTGCGGGGATGATGCGGGTACGGGGGCGACAACCTTGTAGGCGATCCAGGTTTATGGAAGGAAGCCGAGGAGAAGCCGGGCGCGGGGTACGGAAGAGAAAAGAGGAAGCGAAGCACCGAGGGAGGGGGAATGGAGGTTGAGCTCCAAAGTTGGGGGGCGGGCAGGGGCACGAGGTCAAGGGCTGAGGAGAGTGCTGAGGGGAACTGGAAGCTGTCGGGAAAACTGGACGCTGATGGGAAGAGCAGGATGCGGCGGGACCGGGCTCCGGAGGGGAAAAAAAGCAGGCGAAGTCCTCCGAATAACAGCTGGAGGACTTGGCCCGCCCACCCCTACCTCCTTGGGCAGGCTCCCCGGAACGGCTGCCTCAGTCCTCCAGTCCCTTCCCAGTCTCCCCTCCCCCAGCTCCCCATCTAGAAGGGCCCCGGGCCAAGTCTCTATGGCTCCACCTCTTTCCTCACCCGTTACGTCGCTCTGAGTGACGACACCACCCACCAATAAGCGCTCGGGTTACGGGGAGGGAGGGCGTCCTTCGCTGTGGCAGCCCTGGAGGCAGCGAAGGTCCAGCTGCCACCAGCTAAACGACCTTTCTATTGGGCTCAGTTTAAGAAGAGGCTGTACTGCGGGAGGGGGCAAGACTGACGTTTTTTCGCCCGTCCACACTCTATGAGCTGTGGGCTAACCCTCATTGAAGGCTAAAGAACCTCTTACCCTACCGATGGCGTAATATGCCCGATAGTCGCCATGGTAACCATCTTAAAGTCACGAATTACATCACTTTGATGTACTCCCCCACCCCCACCCCTCCGAATCAGCAACTGCCGGGGTTGGGGTGGCGCCGAGAGCTAGGCGGAGAGGGAGTGGCAGAAAGGGCGGGAATGGTTAGGAAAACATCCCTTTCCTTTCTCCGAGGCCTAAGAGTGGAATGCTGTGAAATCTTCATATGGAAATATGAATTCCACTAAAGTAATTTGCTTTATAAATCCGTTCTTAACAGATATTGTTTATGATAATAGTTTTTGTAGAAATGTCAAATAGCATTTAAGATGTATATTATAGTAGCCGTACAGTGACGTAGGCACTACAGGTTTGGGGCACTTCAGTTCCTAGGTTGGGTAACTGAGCCATCTTGAAAAAGTGAAAGATGCAGAAATATTCTCGCTCTCTTGTTATTTCTACTCATCCATTTCCTCTGGCTCTAGAAGAAAAACAGCATTTTTAGTGGCTCTGCTTGGACTAACACCAGACAACAAGGAATCGCTTTCACACGGATAATACTTCTCTTAACATGTGAGCTGACCACAGACCCTAGTCATCTGAGCTGCACATTTGTAAGAATGAAAGATGGCGGGTATTGAATTTCAGTTATTATTATTATTTTTTTAATGTAGACTGCATTTAATCCACAAAGCATTTTTCAGCTAATAACCAGTTAGATCAACCATATTAAATAAGCAAAACTTTTCAGTTTGGCCACGAGAGGGCCCTTTGTGCATGTCTGATGCCCGAGTTTGCACGTAAAGGTTTCACTTCACGTTCTGTGTTTACTAGAATTAACAAAATCTACAAAGCTTTGGTCTCTTCACCTTTCCTTTCCTGAAAATTCCCGATGGCAAATGTTGAGCTCTAAAAGGCTAGGTAGTTATAATTTTCAAATTAATTCCATAAATTAATCACTGCACTATCATAAACATGTACTTTTCTGGAACAGATCATAAAGATGCAAAAATATTCCTTTCAGTTCCCTGGGAGACATTTTATACCGGGAAATATTCTTATTCATGCATTGTATTCACTTACAACCAGGCACAGTGAAAATCATTAAGTATTCATAAACCAGATGAACGATTCCAAGCTCAGTATTGGAAAGATGAGCTAGATTTTCTACCACAGCCATATGTCAGCAATCCTATTCTAAAAAGGGAAGGGTTAAGAACCTTCCTATTGAAATCTGTTTGTTCAAAGCAATGTTTGCCTTCTGCTCTCAGGCCTGGCAATTTTTTGACTTTCATGATTAAGTGATTTATCATGTTAGGAGTTTTTGGATATAATCTTTGGAAGAGAAACAAAAAATTTTTTTCTCCTTAACTGTGGCCCTGCGAATTGTGTTTGATTGCTGTCGTCAAATGAACTGTTTGCTCATTTTGTATGGAGAAGAGAAAGCATGATCTGAACCTCAGAAGATGTTAGATGCTAAAAATGTAAATTATTAATTTTAACGGCCGTTTCTCTAAATATGACTCAAGATCCAATATTATTAACAATATATTTTCTAATGTTTTTTTTTTTGTTTTTTTTTTTTCAACGTTTATTTATTTTTGGGACAGAGAGAGACAGAGCATGAACGGGGGAGGGGCAGAGAGAGAGGAAGACACAGAATCGGAAACAGGTTCCAGGCTCTGAGCCATCAGCCCAGAGCCTGACGGGGGCTCGAACTCACGGACCGCGAGATCGTGAGCTGGCTGAAGTCGGATGCTTAACCGACTGCGCCACCCAGGCGCCCCTATATTTTCTAATGTTTTGCAGGAAGAGATTATACGACTACTTGACATAACTAATTTCATTTATTTATTTTTTATTTATTTTTAATGTTTATTTATTTTTGAGAAGAAAGACAGAGCACGAGTAGGGGAGGGGCAGAGAGAGGAGACACAGAATCTGAAGCAGGCTCCAGGCTCTGAGCTGTCAGCACATAGCCTGATGCGGGGCTTGAACTCACAAGGTGTGAGATCATGCATGATCTGAGCCGAAGTCGGACACTCAACCGACTGAGCCATTCAGGTGCCCCAGCATAACTTTAATTTTAAAACTCTTGTCACTTAGAAGCAGATTAAAATAAAATCCCTGGGGACAATTTATCAGATTCTCCTCAAGGGGAAAATCCAGGTGTCAGGTCAAAGCAACAGTTTGTCAACAAAGCAAGGAGTTTACAGGAAGGTGGAAAGGAAGGATGATGGTGGAAAGGATCATAGAAAAAAAAAGGTTTAACCTTTCAGGTGTCCTCCTTTAAGATGTCTGTGTTCTAAAAAGACATTTAAAGTAAACAAAAATAGATTCGGATTGATTCCTTTAACTTTTGGTACTGCACAAACCATAGAAATAGGTTTAGAAATAGTTAATGGTTGACAGTAATGAGACACTTAATTATCAATATCATCTGCAGTATTATTAACAGGGTTATGTTTTTAAAACCCTGAAACATAATTAGTAATCATTAAAATAACTGATCTGTAGGAGTCTTTTAATTTCTTGTTTAAATGGTATTTAAGATAAAAATATCAGGAATTTCTTGTGGCCGTGCCAAACAGATCCAGAACTATAATGTCGGTGCAGAGTGTAACATCTAGTAGTGATACGGCTTTATTCTCAGACCATAACGCAGAGGATAGGTTTCGCTGTCTCTCTGCTGCTGTGTTTCCTTCGTACGTTCACGTCTCTTGTGCTGCAACATTCTAAGTCATTACCACCAGGCCCCAGGAAATATCACCAAATTTCGCACACTCCTGCAAGGCTACTTTACTATGTCACACACCTTCTATTGTTTAACATAAATTTCCTAGAAGGGGAGCGCTTAGAGGGTTACAGAGAATTTGGGTCTCTTTTCCTCTTCTCAAGCTTGAGTGAGCTCTGTGGAGGACAAATGCCCTCCCGTCCCTGGAAGCGAAGGTCTGGCTGTGAGCAGCAGAGGACCCAGGCACGTGACGGACACTGAGCCCTCTCGGTCCCTGGGGTCCGGGCTGCAGTCGGCGTTGACGACGTCCTCCTGGTTACCCACAAGCCTCCGGGCCCGCAGTGCGAGCAGGAAGAAGGCGTGCGGGGCCCGGTGTCTGCCAGGGAGGTCAGCGCTTCCTCATAGCGACTGAGATGCCGCCACGGCTTGAGATTGTGGGGCGGGACGGGGTGTGGGGGCGGGGTGGGGCATCCGGGGCTCACATCCGAGGCTGGATGAGCGACTATCCCCCAAGGCTCAAAACTGAAATTGCTGCCACGGATTCCAGACACAGACTCCTGTGAAATAGGGAGCTCTTCTCTGACAGCTGTCGGACAGAAGGCAGCCAAGGCTGCACATAAATTGTTCTTCTCTTTCCCGGTCATCTTAACCGGGCACTCGTTTGTAGGTTATTTCTAACATCTAAGGAGTGTACAGCAGTGTCACTCTGAGGAGTACCATATGGTGTTTATTATGTGCTGTTATTTAATAAGTATCAGAACACGCACGAACACAATTTTACCTCACAGGCCCAACCTTTAACCTAGCTTTCTAAAGTCTTTTT